GTGTGTATGTGGGTGTGTGTGTGTAGTGTGTGTGTGTGTGTGTGTGTGTGTGTGTGTGTGTGTGTGTGTAAGTGTGTAAGTGTGTAAGTGTGTGTGTGTGTGTGTGTGGATGTGTGTGTGTGTGTGGGGGGGGTGTGTGTGTGTGTGTGTGGTGTGTGTGTGTGGGTGTGGGTGTGTGTGGGTGTGTGTGTGTGTGTGTGTGTGTGTGTGTGTGTGTGTGTGTGTGTGTGTGTGTGTGTGTGTGTGTGTGTGTGTGTGTGTGTGGGTGTGTGTGCGTGTGTGTGTGTGTGTGTGTGTGTGTGTGTGTGTGGGTGTGGGTGTGTGGATGTGTGTGGGTGTGTGTGTGTGTGTGTGTGTGTGTGTGTGTGTGTGTGTATGTGTGTGTGTGTGTGTGTGTGTGTGTGTGTGTGTGTGTGTGTGTGTGTGTGTGTGTGTGGGTGTGTGTGTGTGTGTGTGTGTGTGGGTGTGTATGGGTGTGTGTGTGTGTGTGTGTGTGTGTGTGTGTGTGTGTGTGTGTGTGTGTGTGGGTGTGTGTGGGTGTGTGTGGTGTGTGTGTGTGTGTGTGTGTGTGTGTGTGTGTGTGTGTGTGTGTGTGGCTGTGTGTGTGTGTGTGTGTGTGTTTTTTTTTATAGAAGAAGGGGCAAACGAGCATGCGGCTCACCTGATGTTAAGTGACTACCGCCGCCCATGATCAACCGCAACACCAGGAGAATTGCGGGTGCGTTGCCGGCCCTTTAGAAAGGAGTAAGCTCTTTTCTTGAAGGTCCCCAGGTCGTATCGGTCCGGAAAAATCGCCGGTGGTAAACTATTCCACAGAGAGGTTGTACGTGGAAGAAAACTCCTTGTAAAACGTACAGTGGTGGACCGCCAAGCATCCAGATGGTGTGGATGGTATCGGGACGTTTGACGTGTAGTGCGTTCACGAAATTTGGCGGCTGGGATTAATCCGAACAATTCCTCAGAGCACTCCCCGTGATAGATGCGATAAAATACGCAAAGAGATGCAACATCTCTTCGCAGCGCCAGTGAATCGAGCCGATCGGAAAGCACTCGGTCGTCGACGATTCGAGCCGCTCTGCGCTGGATGCGGTCAAGTGGAAGAAGCTGGTACTGGGGAGCCCCAGCCCAGAGATGGGAACAGTATTCCATGTGCGGCCGAACCTGCGCCTTATAAAGTTGCAGGCGGTGTGCCGGCATGAAATACTGTCCCGCTTTGCTGAGCACGCCAAGCTTTTTAGAGGCCAATTTGGCCTTCCCTTCCAAGTGACCACGAAACTGCACGTCACTCGATATATCGACGCCGAGGATTCCGATACTGGCTGAGGCAACAAGGGGAGTGCCTTGAAACTGAGGGGATACGACAAAGGGGTTCTTTTTAGCGGTTAACGCGCAAACTTGTGTCTTCTGGGGATTAAACTGGACTAGATTTAGTCGCCCCCAATCCGAGACTCTGTCCAGCAGAGACTCGACTTCAGACAGAGAGACAGAGTGTGTGTGTGTGTGTGTGTCGCACGGTCGGCATTGGTCGACTATGAGGACGGTGATGGTGATGATAATTTATTACAATATACAGGGTTATTTTGCAAAACCGGCTGAATTTGCAGAGAAGGTTCCATAGGCAAATTGTGAAGAAAAGTTAATTAAGAAGAAAAATTAATTAAAAAAAACCTCAAGTATTCTGTCATTTTTATCTTTTAGCTCGGTCGCCGACGATTCGAACTGCTCTGCGCTGGATGCAATCAAATGGAAGGAGCTGGTACTGGGGAGCTCCGGCCCAGAGATGGGAACAGTATTTCATGTGTGGCCGAACCGGCGACTTGTAAAGTTGCAGGCGGTATGCCGGCATGAAATACTGTCTCGCTCTGCTGAGCCCGCCAAGCTTTTTAGAGGCCAATTTGGCCTTCTCTTCCAAGTGAACACGAAACTGCACGTTACTCGATATGTCGATGCCGAGGATTCCGATACTGGCTGAGGCAACAATGGGAGTGCCTTGAAACTGAGGAGATACGATGAAGGGGTTCTTTTTAGCGGTAAATGCGTCTTCTGGGGATTAAACTGGACAAGATTTAGTCGCCTCCAGTCCGAGATTTTGTTCAACAAAGTCTTGACTTCAGACACGAGTTTGTACCGGTACTCGGCGACGTTTTCCCGGGAAATATTGGCACGGCCGATGTATAAAGTGCCATCACCAGTGCTGTCGTCTGCATAGCAATGATTGCAACCGATTTGCAACATGTCATTGATATGCAGAAGAAACAGCGTTGGTGATAGCACGCAGCCTTGTGGAACACTAGCATTAATAGGCTTGTAATCGGAGCATGCACCGTCTACTACGACCTGGATGCTCCGACCAGCGATCAGCTTTATTATGCTTTATGTGGAATATAATTGTTTTATGATATTGTTATGGGCAATAAAGATATAGATGATATCATGAGAAAGATATAAATGAAAATGTTATAGTGAAAATTATCGATTTGCTTTAATCGAAATGGCATTCTGCGCGCGGTTCTCCTCACAGTATAACTTCCGGGGTAGGTTAGTAAATCTCTCTATAAAGGCATTCAAGCTCAACTTCAACCGAAGAAGTGAACTCCGAGGGAATGGTGCTGCACTTAACAGTGGGTGCCTGCGCCTGTTGGTTGGGCTTTGAATTTGAGTTTTCCCTACACTCGGCCTCGAGTAGAGATTCGTCTCCGTGGGTCACCGAGATCACCGACACCCAGACAAGACCTTTCGTAGGCTGAAGAAAAGCAAATTTCAACATAAATGCTGCACTGCAGCAACCAAAATCCGGGGGAGCCGTGTCCCCCCGCGAAAACGCCCGGGTAATGAGGGTCACCTCGACACCCGCAGACCTCCAGTCCCCAGAAAGAGGTAAAGAGAAGAACATCGCCTTGCAATTCGTTCGGGTAGTTCGAAAAGTTCAGGACCAACTACAGTTACCAGTTCTAAAACAAGAAAGAAAAAGAAATTAGGAAAAGTAAAGTGAAAGTTATAAAAGTAGTAAAAGTTTCAATATCGCATTTCCAAGGGGAATTTACGACCCCCCCGAACGGGTTCCCGCCTTGTCGTGGCGGGGGGGCTTAGTAGCCGTGGCTTGGTCTCCCACGGTGAACAAAGAGGAACCCACGTGGCTGGCCCGAGGTGAAGGGCCGGCCTGAGGTGGCCACTCCGAGTGGGCTTGGGGAGCCCACTTCGGATGTGTGCTGGTGGACTGCAGCGAGTGGGGACTCCGCACCCTCTACCGCTGCAGCCGAGGTGGAGTCGCGGAGGAAGAGGAGTGTTGGTATGGCGATGCGCCACTCGCCCTATCCTCCGCGACTCAAACGGGGCCGCACCGTTGATGCGGTGGTGATGGGGCTGCGGGGGGAGAGGATTGTCGGTATTGCGAGGCGCTGCTCTCCCTATCCTCCGCAGCCGAATCTTGGTTGGCGGCGGAGCCATAGACCAGATCCGCCGCTGGGGTCGGGAAGGCTAGTACTTCTAAGTGCTCGTTTTTCCTGGCCCCATGGCCTTCGCGCATCGGACGCGGGGGCGACTGTTGCGCAGATGCAATTGGAGGCCGTGGAGGAAGGCGTGCCATGTGTTCTGGTGCGCCTTACCTGGGAAGGAGAACGGGGAGGAATATTCCTCTCCCGAGGAGGTGCTGCCATGGGGCGGCAGTCGCTGGTAGGGCCGCGGAAGTGTGCGAAAGCGTTCCCGTAGCCCTGCCAATATGCGACGAAGGTGGAACACCATGGGGTTTTAATCGGTGCGAGTCCGACATAACCCGTCCTTGCCCCCGCGAGGCGGGTATGCGTAGGCATTTCCCCATGTAAAAAAAAGGGGGGAATTTACGAACAATTAATGTTTTGTTTGAAGAATCCTTCAGTGTTCACCCTAATAGTAGGGAAGAAAGGGAAAATACATTCCATTAGGTACATGACTGACGTCAAAAATAATCAAATGGACCGGGACTATTCCTTAAGGACCCGTAATCTTAGTCGTCAACCTTTTTTTTGAGAGAGGGCAAGGTTTTGAGTTGAGCGTCTTACTCAGGAGTCACGCCCATTTCGTTGTTCTCCAACCTCACGTGGTGTGATGTAGGATTGGAAGTCAATTGGTTGATCACTACTGCAGGGCGCGATACAAAGAACGTTCACGCCTGTTTCATTAAGGATACACATACGTATAATCTTAAGTAAGAAGCTATGGACACCATTTGACTGATTAGCAGATGTGTAATTTTTTTTGCTTTTTAAATTAAACGATAAAATTACTTAAAAAATTAGTTAAAGATTGGTAAACTCTCAGATGCCCACTAACTAGACTTAGCGACGACGCAAGATAGCTGGCAACTATTGGGTAAATGATGCCGAAGATCTTGCTAATTGGCTGACTGGGGAAGAGCCCTTTATACAGTAGTAGAGCCACGCTGCAACTATCTTATGGCTGTAGCACGAATGGGTCGACTCAACCGGGGTAGGACCACGCTCTCACAGAATACCAGCGTCAAAATAGCAGCTTAAAGCTGATGTGTTTCGTATGGTGAGTGTAGGGAACCGGAGACGGTTTTACTGGAAACGAGGCTTTCCATCTCAGTTCTCAGGAGTGAGAACGCGTCTGGATTTTGATTCTTAATTGATAAATGTAGATGTTTATGGGTCACAGCATCCACTTACCATCAGGTGGATTGTGTGCTTTTTTGTTGTTTATTCCATTAAAAAAAATTAGAAGATTTCCAAGAGTATAGTTGCAGGCGGATAATGATATTTTTGGTCGTTAATAGAAAAATGTTATTGATGGCAATCGGCTTTATGTACATCGTTCAGGGATTGTTAGGCTATTTAATAGGTCTTAAGACACTATAAAGTAATGGATGTAGATTATGATAATTCAGCAAACAAATGAAAGCTAATCTTTACTATTCCATATTGATGTAATGTCTGTTATCGTGTTCTGAAGCATAAAAGACGGATTGGTGAGACATTTTATTGAGAAGATTGCGAAAACTGAAAATGTGCAAAAGTTTAGGTATTGCAATCATTGTGGTAAGTGTTCAGGCAATTTTTTAAAATTTTTTTTTGGGAAAAAATAAGTATAGTGGGTAACATTTGAGGTCTTTGAACTTGGAACTTTAAACAATAGGGGTCCAATATTAAATTTAGTTCTCAAGGGTTTTATTTAAATTTTTACGATAATTTTAGATTAAATTATTTTCTATCAAGACACCAAAAATCAATCCAGAAAGTAACACCTCCTTGTGTTGATTCGAAATGTTGTTTTTTATTGACAAATTTAGAACTAAAGTTGAAATGATTGTGGCTTTTGAAACCCGAAATGGTGTAGGAACCGTTTGTTTTTTTTTTTCTTGTAGTATTAGGGTGACAAACGTGAATACAGTCCACCTGACGGTAAGTGGATGTTGTGACCCGTAGACATTTACATCTATGCTCTAAGAATCAAAATGCAGAATCAAAATTTAATCGATGCAAATGCAGATTCCAGTAAAAAGGGTCTCCGTTTTTCTACACTCACCATATGAAACATGGTATTCTGTGAGAGCGTGGTCTTTCCCCGTTCGAGCGATCCATTCGTGCTACAACCATAAATAAGCTATAGCACATGGCTCTACCACGTAAATTAAAATTGCAGTTGTTAGAAATTTAAGTCATGGAGGTGGAGATGGGTCTTTTCAAGAATGCGCAAAACGAGCCAAACCCTAGGATATTATGGCTGTAGTACGGTCTGCTGATCTATGGAGGACCACGCTCGTAATGAATACCGGCACAAGATAAATAATAGTACTACGTAATACCGGTCTGAAATAGCAGCTTAATGTTAATTTTTTTTGGAGTGACGGGTCTGTGGAGCAGAGGCTTAGCAAACGGCAGCACTAAGGGCCGTGGGTTCGAAGCCTGCACGGAACAAATATTTGTATGGCCTACAAATAATTGTTGCGGGTCTGGATATTTGTTCTTGTAAAATTTATGTTTGTTAACTCCTACGATAAAGAAAAGATATTAGTGTAGAGGTAACGTTTTTCTAAATAAAAAAAAATGTTTACAGAGTTTTCATTCTGTCTTAGGCCACAGGATTGAAAGTAAATTTTTTGACGAAGTTGATGTTACTTTCTATAATTTTTACTTTATTGAGCACACAGATGTTTCGTATTGTGGTGACCCTGACTTCTACGGCCGGTCAGTGGGTGTTGTGTTCAACTTTATAACAGCAATCTTACTTTAGTAGTAAACATTTTTTATCTAAAATGGTTTCGTACTATGTAATTAAAGACCAACGGATTCTCTTTATACCGTGTAGTGGTAGTGTAAGGATATCCACTGCCCCATCTTATACCATTGGATGTCGTAAGAGGTGAACAGAGGGAAACAAACAAAATGGGCAGCAGCGTCTTCCTAATAAAATAAAATAAAATAAAATAAAATAAAAAACTTTTTTATTTCTTACACACAAAGGAAAGAGTAAGTTACAGTGAATTATCTTATTACTAAAACCTAATATTTTTTATATAACCTGTGATTGTATCTATTTTTGTGTGTTTATTTATCTATGATTGTAGTAATTTTTTTCTTCAAGATGTATTGGTTTGTAAGCACTCCACCTCGGGTGAAGGCCTCCTCCAAAGAATCCCAATGGTCTCTGTTTTTGGCCATTTGTAACCAATTTGACCCCGCTATTTTTGTGATGTCGTCTTGCGATCTCGCATGGGGTCTTCCTCTGTAGCGTTTCCCTGTTGAGCCGTTCCATGAAGTAATTTTTGGTCCATCTCTCATTTTGAAATCGCGCTACATGCCCCGCCCACTTCCATTTTAGTCTGAGCGTGAATTAGAGCGTCTGTTCAAAGCGTCACCTTAATAACAATTAAAAATAATAAACTGCGGTAGTAGCGTGGCAACTATGGCAATTATCCCCCATATGAAGCAATCTATATGGGAGGCCTATGCTGAGCAGTGGACTTTTTCAGGTTCTAACAGTAATGGATTATAAAGCTATTAAGTAGACTCTAACTTCATACCTACTCTATCCGTACTCATTTCTTCTTTTAAGGTGGCGTCTATCGCTTGGCAAGCACATGGCGCTGTCAACTGTACGGAGACTGGAGCAGGACGCTTCGCTGATCCCGCCGACACCACCTGTCAGAACTACACTCTTTGCGTATACGTGAGCTCAACTAATACCTACTTAGCGTACAACTACGTGTGTCCAACATCATCAGTCTTCAACCCGAACACGGCGCAATGTACAGCTTCAAGTAATTACGTTTGTAACGTTTCTACATCTACTAATAACACGACCACCTCATCAGTATGCACTGCCGACGGATACGTTGCCGACCCGAGTTCAACGAATTGCACCACTTACATCGAATGTGTCCAGGTCAATGGAACGTTTACAGAGACTACGTATACATGTCCAGACGGTACGTACTTCAATCCAAACACCACTCTGTGCGAGTCCGACTACAACTGTACTACCACAGACTCTACGTTTAGTTGCACAGCGGCTGGTAGATTCGCCAACACCGCTGACACTACTTGCCAGACGTATTATTTTTGTGTACTAGCTAATAACGGTACTTATGTTCAATATCTGTACACTTGTCCTACGACATCTGTCTTCAGCCCTACGATTAGCATGTGTACCACGTCTTATACTTGTACGAATTCCGGATGAATTTTTACAAGATTTTTACAATACGGCAAGACATTTAAATTTTGACCTGTTGTTTACTATTGACGGAGATTTTTATTATATTTTTGTAATAATTAAGGATATATGTATATTTGGCAATAAATAAATTTGATGAGAAAATAAAATGATATTTCACAACTACTTTTTTAATGTCAGTTGAAGGTGAGAGCTTCACAACATCATCATCATCATTATAGCAGCTGATATAAATACGTATAAGTTGTTTGTAATGGTGGCCTAAGAGAACCTCTACCCCATATCATCCTGAAGGTGTCGCAAGAGTCGTCAGAGGGAAAATGTAACTGTGGATTAAAGAACTCCCGTTGCCAACCAGTCCACCAAGCTTTTGCTACTATGGCAACCCATTTCCATTATGAGGAAATCTATGGACGAAGTCTACGTTCAGCAGTGTACTTATATAGTATTTTTATATAATATTAAAAAAAACATATATGTAATAGATGAGTTTTTTTGAATATTGCAAAAATGCTTATTAAAAGCCATTTATGCGCATTCAGCGCAATGCGGCTCGAATCGTCGGCGACCGAGTTTGTACCGACTTTAAGAAGGAGGAGGTAGTCAATTTTTTATGTATGTTGCCTTAGAACTATTTTTTTGGGTAAACCGATTGTCATGATACTTTTTTTATTTGAAAGCTGGTGCTTTTCGTATGGTCCCATATAAATTTGATTAAGATCTGACCTGTAGTTTATAAGTAATCCTTAAATAATGTGTAGTAATTGACTCCGAATAACATTGATTCGGTCGTATTGAAGTCGATTGTACAAAAATTTTAATTTGATTGTTTTTTTCTGGTCGGCTCGATTCAATGGCGCTGGAAAGGAATGTTGCATCTCTTTGCATTTTCTGTCACATCCACCACACGGAGAGTGCTCTGAGGTATAATTCCTGTCGCCAAATTTCACGAATGCACATCGCGACAAGACTCACCATACCAATCACACCATCTGGATGCTTGGCGGTCCACCACTGGGAGGAGTTTTTCCTTGTGCTAGGATCGTTTACCACCGGAGATTTTTCCGGACCGACACAACTTATGGACCTTCAAGAAAAGATCATGCTCGTTTCTAAAGTGCCGGCAACACACCCGCCATTCCTCTGGTGTTGCGTTTATTCGTGGGCGGCGGTAATTACTTACCACCAGGTGAGCCGAATGCTCGTTTGTCCCTTCTTCAAAAAAAAAAGATGAGAAACGAGCACGCAATCCATCTGATGACAAGTGAATGCTGTGAACAATAAAATATAATAGTCTTTACTTCTTTTAAAATAAAAAATCTTTTCTTTCGCAGTCTGTATGGTATATTATCATCTAGAATTGCAATTACTTCAGTGTTGTCGACATCTAAGATTGAATCTAGATTTCCTGCAAAGGGACCGATGTATCCATTCCATTACACCCTTTTCAGATTGCTCATAGGGGTTCCTACTAGACGCCTGGCGAGCTGGTTGTCAACCGCAGTCTTTTTTATTTTTAGTTCTTATCAGGAAGATGCTACTGCCCATCAGCTGTTTCAATTTTCCTCCGTCGCATTTTTCGTTACCCACGGGCTTATATGGGGTAGTGATATCCATACACCTCTACTACACGGCAAGATCAAAGAGAAGAGAGAAAATATTTTTGAACACTAAGTAAGGATACTATAATTAATATCATTAGAGGGGGGTTGAGAGTGTGGTGAGGGTGTGGGGGGGTGGGGGTTTGGTGATGATGATTAAAAAAGGACTACTTATACCAGGAGTGGTTCAAGACAGTAGTCGAATGCATTAATAAAACCTTTTTTTAATTTTGCAAGAAGAATATTACAATTAAAATGTTAATTGCTACAACATGTGTATAGGTAATTAATAATTAATATAATAAGAAATACCTAGTGCGTACATATATTTATCATTAATTTATCTTTCGTATGAGCGGTTAAGGCAATATTAGTACTCTGTTATCGTATCATTTTGACATAGAGCAAATTTTAATATTGAGATTTCACATATATGTACGTATTTATCAATAGACATTTATATCTAAATAATTATCCTCAAGCTTTTAACTTATATTGGGTAAGTAAAGACCCAAGAGACTATAAAATTATCATACAAGGAAGTGGAAGGATACAAGATACAGATGGCTTTATACTCATGCTTGCATGTAGTAGAGCTACGCTGCAGATATGCTATGCACAAATGGGTCGCCTCGACCGGGGTAGGACCAAGCTCTTACAGAATTTTAACGTAAAACAGCATAGTAATACGTCTGTGTTTTGTATGGTGAGTGTAGAGAACCAGAGACCCTTTTTACTGACAATAACACATTCCATCTTAGACCACAGGGGTGAAAACTTATCTCCATTTTGATTCTTTGTCAACGATGAATGTAGACGTCTATGGACCATAGTATCCACTCACCATCAGGTGGGCTGTGTGCTCATTTATTACTCCTATTCTAAAAAAAGTAGATTCTTTTTAGAGGTTATTATTATTATATGTCAGATTATTTGAGAACCGCCGTATATGATTTAAACGCCGTGTAGTTACAAGAAAGATATGGGACAATGCGAAACGTTAGTTACGACGTTCTAACGTTCGCATTCGGGCGATTAAAACTTTCCAACTACTGAAACACTTGGTAATTAACCTGTATAGAATAGAATAATTTTTATTCAATATAGATTACAAAAAACTCCAATGTAATTTTCTTACTTTTACTACTGCTTTGTAAAAATTCTGTTTTGATTAGGATCAGCAAGAACGAGACTTTAAAGTGAAATTATGCAATAAAAACATCTTGAAAGCTATCACCTCATTCCCAGGGATTATTATCGACCGTATAACAATTTATATTATTGTTATGTGGCGGCGCTGTCGTCGCGCCACAAGTGAAACGCATCTAAGCCTAAATCGCGCTATCAAAGTTCCGAATCAAAACAGTATACATAGAATAGCTCCAAACTATCACACGGCTTGCGCCCTCCTTTTTGACAAGGAGGGTCGCGTTCGTTTACGTTTTAAATATCTCTCGTTAGATCAGTAAGCCAATCCCTAAAGGTTGAGTTTAGTGGGTAAAAGTCTCCACATAACCACGCAGCCGGCTGCGTGGTATGCTATGAGCATTCACTGCCTCTCTCCCCCGTTACCGGAGGGTTGCCATTAATTGCTTTGGGCGCCAAAAAATATCGCACGGAGCATTGGCCGCTCCACGACCAGAACACCTTGCCAGGCGGGTAATCTCGTCGTTCATTTCGTTTTTATACAGTAAATATATCGTTTTTATACAGTCTTTCTGTAATAAAAAATCAAACTTCATAATAAATTAACCTTGTAAATCTGGAACTTTGGTGTAGAAGCGCATACATTGCAAAATTGTAATTGGTATCACTAGCTTGTGTTTGGTGTTTCTAGTGCTACACAATGTTTATCACATATATCTATATTACTCTAGGCTTAGCATTGTCGTGACTTTTTATGTTATGTTCATATTCGGATAATTGTCATTTAGTTATTACACGGGGATTACGTATTGGACGTCTTAGGTAATACATCACCTTGAGGACATTATTGGAATGGGTCAACCAGGGAATCACACCACGCGTGGTTTGCAGGCTAGATTTAAAAAAAAAAGAAAAAAAGAAAAGATGACGTGACCGTGCTGCTTACAACGAACGTTAATGGGCGGGGGAAAAAAAGAAGAGGATGTACGCTTGTCGATTCGGACGAAGTGTTGAACGATCTAATCAAGCAAGATTAACGCACTGTTGTGATATCTCAGCGAATATATATAACCTACCAGTCTAGCGTTGTGAGTATTATGAGTGAAACTTCCAAGAAATACTAGCTAGTTGGCAAGCTATTGAAAAGGCCTGTGTCCAGTATTGAAAATAAAAAAGTTGATGATGATAATGGTTTTTTTGTTTTAAAAATTGTTTTTTTTTAAATATTGTTTTTTTTTAAACGAGCCAACAGTCCACTTGATTGATGACTACTGCGGGTGCGTTGCCATGTCAGGAGTAATATGAAATGCCTCACAGCTTGTGTTTTTAATGACTTTTCATACTCTTCGCACCAGAACACATTAATTTAATATATTGATGCTAGCGGAAGGAAAAGTAACCACAAAAAAGGAGTCTTTACATCTAGTACAACGTAATATTTTTATAGGATAGGGTGATAAACGAGCACACAGTCCACCTGATGGTAAGTGGTTGCTGTGGCCCATAGACATCTACATCTATCCTCGATTACGAATCAAAATGCAGATGCGTTGTTCCCCGTGAGGACTAAAATGGAATGCGTCTTTCCAGTAAAAACTGACTACACTACCATACGAAACACAGCAGCATTAAGCTACTATTTGACGCTGGTATTCTGTGACAGCGTGGTCCTTCCCCGGTTTAGCTCACCCATTCGTGCTACAATTATACTACTAATATAACTGCAATATGGCTCTATCACGTATAGGAAATATTATACATTTAATACCAAGCAAACACAATATATTTATTTTTATTTATGATTTCGTTTTCTTTTTAAGCTTTGTGTTATATTTTCCTTTCGATATGCAATGTTTTTATATAGCATTTCGAAAATAAGTAAAGACGCAAGTCTTCGAGCTATCTGCAGATTTCCATCTGACGGCATCAAAGGATTTTTGAAATTTGTATCTGAATCAATCAAATCTGTAAAATATGGAGGACTCGGGCTTAAATCAATTGATGCCGGAGTTTTCTTCAACGTAGCGTAATAATTTCGAAAATAATTTTCTCTTGCATTTTTGATCACAGTTTCTGGTACTTTATACTTGTGTTTAAACTTTTTCTCATCGACCGCAACTGTGCTGCTTGTTGCACCAAAATCACGGTCAGTCTTATACAATCTTTTGTCATCGTCCATCGACACAACTTTAGCTTCCGAGTTTAAATATATTCCTTTAGAATTTTCATAGTCATAATCAGGAAAGCTCGTTACCAAATATGAAGATTCATTAATTCGACGTACTTCGTAAGTTTTCACACTGATTACTTGTGGGATAAATCTTATCACAATATACTGAATGAAGTATATAATATATCTGTTTAACAAATTCATTAATATATTTCCCTTATCGTTGTGTAAATTATATAATCATTTGACGTAGTGACGCAGTAAAACGTAGTTGTCATAGATTATTATATAATATATATTTAAGAATAGTGATTATATACTCTTTGGTAGTCGGTGACCAATGCACAGATTATTAAAAGACGTAAAATAAGTGTGAAATGGTCAGACTCAGACAGAAATTTAGGACTGAAAGATAGAAATAAGTGGTACCTGAGTTTTGTCTCTTGTCATCCTCAAATATTTTAAAGTAAAATGTTATGGTTGTCATCAGCATCATAAGTCCAGGGCTGGAAAATAACGTCCCTAAAAGATTACCACGAAAATTCTTATAAAACAGTACAAATAATAATCGATTTCATAGAAATGATATTTGGTGTCACAAAAAAATGTAAGAATGTACATGTACTGTAGCAGCAATAATAATGCTGTTTTTTTAGTTTTTTTTTTTACAAAATTTTAGTTAAAATCAAATGAAGCCCAATGGGCGTTGAGATTTACTCCCACATCTTTAAATCAAGGTCAAATTTACCATTCATCCAAAATATTCTCAACATCTCGCGCAAATAGAATGTTTTAAATTATACGCTAAATTTTACGATTTAAAGTGCATTTTCAATTTTCATACTTTTAAAACTTGGTTGCTATATAATTCCCGGAGAGTCTGAGATAGTTCTCAATGATATTATTGTTTTCAATGTCTTTGAATGAACGCTCTTAATTATTCTTTAGTTAAATAACAAACAAAACCGCCGAGTAGCTCTATTAACACTTTTACCATTTCTTTTACATGATTTAATTATATACAATTTAATAATCATGAATGACAGAATAGATCAAGGATTATTTTAGGTCACTTTGACTTATTCATTATCGTTACAGCCTTTCACAAGTCCACTGCTGATATTAGGCCTTGACTTACTGATGCTCAAATATTATATTAATATTTAAATGACAGTTGAAGCAGGAAAACAAAAGATAAAGGCTATTATAAAAAAATATAAGGTAAACTGTTATGTTGAAATATTAAAAATATCATCAAAATCTTTCGGAAGCTAAAGAATCTTAATACCTATATCAAAAACAACTATGTTGGTTCGTATTTGATGCACTGCCATATCGTTCATTAGATTGCGGTAAAATTTGTTAACTTATTGCTAGCACTTTTACGAAGGCGTAGTACCATTATTTATTCTGTGACGAAGGTTATAGGTATAGTACAATTCAATTACAGTAGATGGTATTTACAAATATCATTCAATTTCAATGAATGTATTATCATTCCTAATTAAACAACATGACTCCTAAATTTAAACGATATTTCCACAGTTACTTTTTCTGCAGCAGCAACGCACCGGGTGCTAGCTAGTCTAATATATAAAAATTAATCTTTGTTGGTATCGAATTTTATGCGCTGCCATGCCATTCATCATAATCATCAGATTGCACCTAAACTTTGTCAAATTATTGCTTGCTCTTGCGCGAAGGTTATTTACCTCTACACTTCATAGTTATTGGCAAAGAACAATTAACTTAGAGTAGGTAAGTAACACGCATATCGTATCAACTCTGCGGCAGCAACGCGCCGGGTACCAGCTAGTCTAAATAGATATATAAAATTAAAGTTTGTTCGTTTGTTTTTTATTAGCTGCCATGCCGTTCAATATATTGCTCCTAAACTTTGTCTAATTATTGCTTGTACTTGCCTACCTATATGGCATATAGGCAAAGGACAATTAACTTAGAGTATGTGGCGCGCGTATCGTATTATAATTCCTTATTAAATAATATAACCCTTCCAAATTGAAAACGATATTTCCACAACTATTCCTGCTACGGCAGTAACGCGCCGGGTAACAGCTCGTTTATAAATAAATAAAACACTGGTAATGCTGCTCTATTGACGTCAAATTGTTAAAATAAATATTATAGGCATGCATTTTACGCTTTCACTAGCGTTTCTGTATCAAGATTGATTGGGGCTACGCTTGCAATAAGAAACGATTTTTCGTATATAGCAACCATGCATGTTAATATGTACGTTGTGATAAAGGATTTGTTTAAAATGCAATGCTACCGTGACGTTAATCTAAATTTTTAAACAACCGAGCTCAACCAATTGGTTAATAATTAATATCAACCTTCTACAACACAAAGCTACGTGGTTCATATGTGAGATAATTGTTTTATATGAAACTGCATCTATAAACGAACTCACATTCCGTTTGTTAGTAGCTACTGTAGTTCAGGAACACTTGTAGCCAATTTCAAACAAAGAAGACTAGAGACGCGTTGCCACCTCTGAGTACTAAGAAGGAATGTCTCACAGCCTTTAATTTTACTAGCTCTCTATGCCTTCAGACCAGAACACAATAAAGAAGGAAAGGAAGGAAGTTTTTTAAATTGTTTTCATAAAATAAGAGTGACAAACGAGCACACAGTCCACTTGACGGTAAGTGGATGCTGTGGCCCATAGACATCTACGGTCTTTGTCTTGAGCTATGTCACCACTGAGAAGTAAGATGGAACGCCTCAATTCTAGTAAAACGGGTCTCCGGTTCTCTACACGGATATATACGATACGAGACACAGTAGCATTAAGTTGCTATTTTACGCTGCTGTTCTGTGAGAGCATGCTCGAACCCCAGTCGAGCCGACCCACACGCTGCAGCTATATTATGCAACAATCATAATATAGCTGCAGCGTGGCTCTACCATATATAAAAGGTAGTGAAAGTGCTGCTATTTGGCAGCAGAAATAGTTTAATGGACGATATCTACCCAGATAGATTTCTAGGTAGAAAAAGAAGACTTACCTCGTAGTAAAATTTTCCAGATGATGACGCATTGTTTCCACTTCAGAACTCATATTCCAATATAGACATATTGTTGCGCGGCTAAGTTGACATCTCATCTCATGGCATGCTAGCTCTAGCGCCATCTAGTGTCGGGTAACAGAGCGAGGAGAGAGCTTTCCAGAAAATGACAACTAATTTTTTTAACCGACAGCGCCATCTAGTATCAAATTGAAGAACTAAACTTTCTAGAAGCTCTACACTCGATCTTTCTGCGCTTGGTCGGTTGGCGCACGTATTTACTTGAATATTCTGGAATATTCTGGATGTTTTCGTGGAAGAGCCCTATATAAAGGCGCTGCAATACGCGATCGGGGAAGTATTGAAGTTGGCGAGACACGCGAAGCTTCGGAGCGGAAAAAAGTGAATCAGTGTGATTAATTATTAGTGTTTTTTTAACTTTAATTATTGTAAAGTGAATTAAAGTGTTAATTTAGGTAATTCTATCGGCAATTTTTATTGTCACGAACCTCAAGCTCGTAACAATTGGTGTCAGAAGTGGGATAAAATCATGCCGATTTTACCTAAGGACGAGATGGAAGGTGTCCGTACCCGAAGTCAACGCCAGCAGGAGACGGATCAGAGGAGATTTGGTGGTGCAACACCGCAGATGTCTGAGGGCCAGCCGCCGGCCACGGAAGCCGGCCCGTCAGCAGCTTCTACGTCTGTGGCACCTGACTTAGGTGCTCTGATGGCGATGCTACAGGAGCAGCTGCAGCGCGGACGAGAGGAACAGGCCCGTCTGTTGAAAGAGCAGCAGGAGGAACAGGTCCGTCGTTTGGTAGAGCAGCTGCGGGGCGGACAAGAAGAACAGGTCCGTCGTTTGGAAGAACAGCTGCGGGGCGGAGATGAGGAACAGGCCCATCGGTTGGAAGAGCCAAATGCTCCTCATGAAGGATCTTCACACTACCTTCGGGAAGGAGATAAAGGAGGTTAAGGATAGGGTTGCTCAGCATGACAACCGCCTGTTGGAAGCTGAAACCCAAATCGCGAAGGCAGAAACCCAAATCAAGGAAGCTAAAACCCAAATCGACCAAGTGAACAATCGGGTAGACAACGTGGTGGCTGATGTGAAGAAAACGCTGGACGATCTCAAACTGGGGGATGGAACTACAAATCCCGTAGTAGCTACAACACCTGCAGTACGTGGATTCAAAGTGCCGCCGTTTGACGGGACTTCTTCCTGGGCGGCCTACAAAATCCAGTTCGAGGCTGTTATGAAGGCAAACGGCTGGAAAAAAGTCAGGTCATGACTGCTCTCACACTAGGCCTGCGCGACCGGGCCTTAACTGTTCTAGAAGCTCTCGGTAAAGAAGTGACTTACGAGCAGCTCCTTGAGGCATTGGAGGCTAGATATGGCGACTCTCACCTGGAACACGTCTTTCGAGCGCAGCTTAGAGATCGCGTGCAACGCAGCAACGAAAACCTGCAGCAGTGGACTCTAGAGATGGAGAAGCTGGTGCAAAAACATACCAGTCTGTACCTGCGCTCATTGAAGGGAACCTGGTACAGACATTCATCGACGGCATTCGCGACCTGGAAGTCAGAGCTGCTGTGAGGCTCGGGCACCACGAGACGCTTAAAGACGCCTTGGCCCGTGCACTGCAGGTGGAAGCCGTGCGGCAGGATCATCGTTCCCATCGCATCAGGGAGGTTGCAGCAGCTATAGTACGCGGCCGCAACAAAGGATACAGCCCTAGGTGCTATGGCTGTGGGGAAAAGGGCCATCTTCAATCCAGCTGCCCTAAGCGAACCCTAGAAAGGGAAGGTGAACGACCTCAGGAGGTTAGTGCGGCCAACAGCACCGCCCAGCAGCAGTAGGGAAACGAGTAAAAGCCAGAACTGCGGGGCGGGTGCTGGCTGATGTTAAAAGAGCCCCAAGGATCTCGATCTCACAAACCCATGATGGGAACAGTCTAATCATCAAGGGCGAGGTCAACGGAACGCCGTGTAAACTGACCATAGACACTGGAGCCTCTCGTACGGTTGTTAGTTCCCAAATTATAAGGCAGTTCCTTGGGGACTCCGCATACAACCGAGAACGCATTAATTTGGTAACAGCCACCGGTCAGCGTATACCCGTCCGTGGAGAGAAGGAGATGGAGTTGAAACTAGGCAACGTGATCTACCTGCATAATGTCATCGTGGCTGATATAATGGGCGACTGCATCCTTGGCCTAGACTTTATGAGGAATAATTGTTGTGAGATCGACGTTAAGCAAGGTGTTTTGAAATGTGGACAGGAGGATCTTTTTATGGAAGGTGCGTTACCAGGGAACGTGCACAGCATTAAGAAGATTGTTCTTCCGCCGAGATCAGAAACGATTGTGCCGGTTAGTCTTCCTCGAAACGCTGGGCAAGCTCACCGTTGTGTACTTGTGGAAAGGGTAAACAATGACCTTCCATGGAAAGTAGCTCGAACCTTGGTCAGGACCACTGACATCTCAGGAGTACGTGTGCTGAACCTTTGTGACCGGGAACAGATTATAGAAAAAGGCACGCTGGTTGGTACTTGTGAGGAAGTGGATTGGTTGCGTCGGTGCCGATATCTATCGAGTGAGACCCCTAGCAAGGATGCACAAACGAGAGTGACCACACTTATGGAAGACTGTCGCAGCGTTCTCTCCCCGAACGAAATGGTCAAGGCAAAGAAGTTGTTACTCAAGTACGCCGATGTATTCTCATCAAACGATGCTGACATA